AAAAATTAGTTGGGTGTGGTGGCGCGTGCCTATAGTCCTAGCTACTCTGGAGGCTGAGGCAGGAGGTGGAGGTTGCAGTGAGCCGAGATTGCACCACTGCACTCCAGCCTGGCAACAAAGCAAGACTCTGTCTCAAAAAAAAAAAAAAAGAAATTCTGGTTTTGAGTCACTGGAGAAACATGGGTTTATTGATTGGTATTCTTGTTGACAAGTAGGGCATGTAAGTAACCTAGTACATATTGTTGCTTTAATATTTCATTTCCAAAAAAAGTAAAAACTAACTCTTGTTACCCAGTAATTTTTTCAGTTATTTCACTTTTGAAAAAGTATTTGTTGGGCATAGTTAGTAATTTTTTTATTTTTTAGGGTTGTTTTAAAGATAAAGTAATGGGCCAGGCACGGTGGCTCACGCCTGTACTCCCAGCACTTTGGGAGGCCGAGGTGGGTGGATCACGACGTCAAGAGATTGAGACCATCCTAGCCAACGTGGTGAAACCCCATCTCTACTAAAAAATACAAAAATTTGGGTGTGGTGGCACGCGCCTGTAGTCCCAGCTACTTGGGAGGTTGAGGCAGGAGCATTACTTGAACCTGGGAGGCGGAGATTACAGTGAGCCAAACTTGTGCCACTGCACTCCAGCCTGGTGCCTGGCGACAGAGCGAGACTCTGTATCAAAATAAATAAATAAATAAAATAATGTATATGAACATATTTTAAAGTAGATGGGTAATTTATTATTATCATTGTTGTGATATTAGGCAAGTAACTTCAAGTTTCTCTTTATGTTTACTCATTCACAAAATGAGGTAAAATTATTACTGACCCTAATAGGTTATCATGGGAATTAAATGAAGTAGTCATGCATGTATGCCAAGAGCTTGGAACACACTAAACCCCTGGAAAATGCTCACTGTTATGTTAGTTATTTCCAGTCTTTTTTTTTTCCTCTTTTTTTCTGAGTCAGGGCCTTGCTGTGTCACCTAGACTGGAGTGCAGTGGCACAATCTCAGCTCACTGCAACCTCCACCTCCTGGACTGAAGCAATCCTCCCACCTTAACCTCCCGAGTAACTGGGATTACAGGCATGTGGAACACGCTAAGCTAATTTTTTGTATTTTTAGTAGAGATGGAGTTTTGCCATGTTGGTCTTGAACTCCTGGCCTGAAGTGATCTGCCCTCCTTGGCCTCCTAATGTGCTGGGATTATAGGTGTGAGCCACCATGCCTGGCTGGCTTTATCATTTCTTTGTGTTACACACTTTCCAGTTATACACTTAACTACTTTAAAATGTACAATAAATTACTTTTGACTATAGTCACCTTGTACTGTCGAATACTATATCTGTATTAGTTTGTTTTCATACTGCCATGAAGACATATCCGAGACTGAGTAAGACTGTGTAATTTATGAAGAAAGGTCTAATTGAGAGGGAGGGAGGGAGGGACAGAGAGAGAGAGAGAGAAAAGGAGAGAGAGAGAAAGAGAGAAACTGCCAAACGCTTTTAAATCATCAGATCTCTTGAGAACCCACACCCTAACTATCATGAGAATGGCGTGGGAGAAACTGCCCCCATGATCCAATCACCTCCCACCAGGTTCTTCCCCTGACATGTAGGCATTACAATTGGAGATGAGATTTGGGTGGGGACACAGAACCATACATATTAATATCTTATTTATTCTACCTAATTGTATTTTTGTACCCTCTACCCATTCCCACCCCTGCTCCCTGCCGCTACCCTTTCCAGCCTCTGGTGACCATCATTTCTGTTCTTGATCTCCATGAGATCAGTTGTTTTAGTTTTTAACTCCCACAAATGACCAAGTGTAAAGTTTGTCTTTCCCTGACTGGTTTGTTTCACTTAACTGTAATGTCCTCCAGTTCCATCCATGTTGTTGCAAATGACAGGATCTCATTCTTTTTTATGGCTGAATAATACTCCATTGTGTATATATGTACTGCATTTTCTTTATCCATTTATCTGTTGATAGACATTAGGTTGCATCCATAGCTATTACATTTTTAGTGCTCTGTATATTTGCAAAAATGACTCTGGATTACAGTAACTGACACAAATAAATGTCAATATATATTCTCTTTCAGATTTACCAAAAATTTATCTCCTGACAAGATAAATCTAAGTACCCTTAAAGGAGAAGGTGAACTGAAGAATTTGGAGTTGGATGAAGAAGTGCTCCAGAATATGTTGGATTTGCCAACATGGCTTGCTATCAACAAAGTTTTTTGTAATAAAGCGTCCATTAGGGTGAGACTTTGTTATCTGTGGCTTGATATTTGTGGAAGGCCTTTTATGTTTTCTTTCTATATTTCAACTCTATCTTTTAAAATACTTAGTTTTAGATAATTCTGTAAAAACATTTTTATTACTATAATTTAGAAAGAAAGATACCTTTTGCATAAATGTATGTGCCTTTTATTTAGAGGCGTATATTAACTACTTTATAGATCTTAATTTTTGTTTAAATGTGATTTCATAAATATTTAAAAATTATTAATTTGTTAATAAAATAATTGTATCCATTTGATACATGTTCAAAGATAGTTTTTTCATAAGTTTTATTTTCAGTTGGGACAATATAAACTTGTAGTGAGTCGCTGGGCATGGTAGCTCACACTTGTAATGCCAGCACTTTGGAAGGCCAAGGTGGGCAGATTGCTTGAGGCCAGGAGTTTGAGACTAGCCTGGGTAACATAGTGAGACTGCATCTCTACTGGAAAAAAAAAAAAAAAAAAAGCCCAACATGTTAACACATGCTCCTGTAGTCCCAGCTACTTGGGAAACTGAATCAGGATGATCAATTGAGTCTGGAAGGGTGAGGCTGCAGTGAGTCATGATTGTGCCACCGCACTCCAGCCTGGGTGACAGACTGGGACCCTGTCTCAAAAAAATTTTTTTAAAGTGAATAAAACACTCTTTCAAATGAAGACATGAGAATTAATAAATTTGGAATTTTATCTCTTTTCTTCATTAGTTTCTTTTTCATTTTGAGATTTTTAAGGGGTTCTGTTTACTATTAGTATCATTCCTATTATTATAACTTGCTATTCTACTTAATCTTTTTTTTTTTTTTTTGATGGAGTCTTGCTCTGTCACCCAGGCTAGAGTACAGCAGTACCGTCTTAGCTCGTTGCAAACTCTACCTCCCAGATCCATGCCATTCTCCTGCTCCAGCCACCCGAGTAGCTGGGATTACAGGCACATGCCACCACAACTGGCTTATTTTCGTATTTTTAGTAGAGATGGGGTTTCACTCTGTTGGTGAGTCTGGTCTTGAACTCCTGACCCCAGGTGACCCACCCGCCTCCGCCTCCCAAAGTGCTGGGATTATAGGCATGAGCCAATATGCCCAGCTGACCTCTACTTATCTTTAATCATGTGTCAATTTGTGTCACCTCTTGGTCTTAAAGATGAGGTTTTCTCGAAGTCGTCTCCTTAATTGAAATATTGCATGCTGATTTGTTTCCTAGAACCAAAATTTGGGTTCCTAAGAAACGATTATTAGTTCTATCAGAAAAAGTTCCTATATCCTTTGATAGTCACTTTTAGTTTTTGTTCTATCCTTGGTAAACCTAAATATCTACAAAGAGTTGACACTTTTATTTTAGTAAAGTTTTTTTTTTTATTTCAGTGGCTTTAGAGGTACAAGTGGTTTTTGTTTACATGAATTAATTGTATAGTGATGAAACAACAGGAGACTGTCTCAAAAAAAAAAAAGAAAAAAGAACTTAGGATTTCTGTTCAAAAGATGACTGAGAAGATATAGCTAGTAATAATTTCTTATATAAAATGAGTACATCTGATTTCAAAAGTGTGAGTTGCTCAGTTTATTTTGTAATTTAATAAAAGTGATTTTATATAATTTGGTGTGTCTGTCACTATATTAATATAACACCTGCGTTGATTACTATTTATATAACTTTCTTCTTAATGATTCATGTTAAATGTTTTCATTTGTAGATCCCATGGACAAAACTGAAAACACATCCCATCTGTTTGGTGAGTTCTGAAACCAGTTCAGAAATAAACATTTATATATATACATTATATATTTATATATATATACATTTATATATATACATTACTCTGTTCATAGTAATCTTCTGTTTCATGGAAATATAGTCTGGATTTTTCACCATTTCATTAAAAGCTTTCATTTTATTTTGATAGGACTTAGGTTTCTTATCCTTTAAATGAGAAGTTTTAACCTCAAAATAATAGGAGCATCTTTAAAGTTTTTCAGGCCTAGAATACTGTCTTCTAAGTTGGTATAGTATTTTATTGCATCATTTAACTCTTTGATGATGTACTATGGGATTATTCTTTCAATAACATTTGATCCAGATTGTCTTTGTTTCTCCTTTTACTGATCTAGTAAGTTAGGAAATATGTTCTTTAATATACTTTGCTTTTTAAGGAAAGTTGAAGAAAATTGATCATTTTGTCCTTCATTTCAAAAATATAATTATCAAGAATATAAATAAAACAAGACAGTTTCAGATAATAGTAAATGCTATATATGAAATAGTGAATGAAGAATGACTGGAGTTGTGTTAGTGATGACTATTAAGGACATTAGATCTTTCTTCAAGGAAAAAAGTATTACCCTGAGAAAGAACCTTTTCCATGATTCAAGTGTTTCTTTCTTTCTTTTTTTTTTTTTTTTAACTTTCCTTTTTTTTTTTTTTTTTCTTTTTTTTTTTTTTTTTTTTTTTTTAACATTCCCTGCTTATTTCGTATTTCCCATAGTTTTGTGTCTTATATCTCAGCTTTTAGATTGGGATAAGCTTTTTGGGGAAGTTCAATCCTATTTATTAATGTATAATCTTATTAATGGATAATACATCTGGGATTAGAGATTTCGTTTTCATGAAATCTGATGATTTCAGTAGTTAATGGCTATATCTTAATTTCAACCCCCCATACACCTGTAATACACAGCTTTTCCACCAGATAATGAATGCCTTGAGAACTGATTGAGTGCTTTGTGTTCTTTTTTGGCATTTGTCTTTGTAGACCTGTAGAGAGACGCTTAAAATGACTCTGCTCACTTACTGTTTACTTTCCTCCTAAAGAAAAATGAAAGAGAGGAAATAATCTTAAATAATACTTTAATAATGTGCATAAAATATCTAATTGTTTACATTTTAACATTTTTATTAGTCCCTGGATAAAGTAATAATGGAAATGAGTACCTGTGAAGAACCAAGAGGCCCTAATGGTCCATCACCAATTGCAACTGCTTCAGGACAAAGGTAAGTTACTTCCATAAATCGGCATGACTGCCAAAGGGAGTTCTTTTCTATAGTCAACTCTGTTATTAACAGTAACAGGACATTTTAAAAAATGCGTTAACCTCAACTGGCCTCTATTTCAGTCAGCTCTCCCATCAAACATTTTACAGTTTAGTTATATACATTGCGAAGTTGCAGATTTAACTTTTAACTTCTTTTTTCATCTTGCATTCCTTGCTATTATTAAATAATAATGATTAATGGCAGAGCAGCAGCAGAAAATGGAAACAAAAGAATTTAGGCATCCTGTAAATCACATAGCCTGTGTCTCTCTGCATATTATTTTCTGTGCATCAATGGAACTTTTATGACTCTTAAGAGTTAAGTTGGGCTGGGTGCAGTGGCCCACACCTATAATCCCAGCACTTTGGGAGGCCAAGGTGGGCGGATCACCTGAGGTCAGGAGTTCAAGATCAGCCTGGTCAACATAGTGAAACCGCATCTCTACTAAAAATACAAAAATTAGCTCTGGGCGGTGCACACTTTTAGTCTCAGCTACTTGGGAGGCTGAGGCAGGAGAATGCTTGAACTTGGGAGGTCAAGGCTGTAGTAAGCTGAGTTCATGCCACTGCACTCCAGCCTGGGTAATTTTGATATAGACAGGGTTTCGCTCTTTTGGCCAGGCTGATCTCGAGCTCCTGGGCTCAAGCGATCTGCCTTCCTCAGCCTCCCAAAGTGCTGGGATTATAGGTGTGAACCACCATGCCCAGTCTAGGCTTTCAGTGAATATCACATTGGCATTTTGTATTGCGTGCCTACTATGTCCTAAGGTGCAGGAGTAGACACTGTGATGTAAAAAGGAATACCATCTGACCTTGGCCTCAAGGACCTCAGAGTATAATGGTGAGTCAAATATGAAACAAATCTTTGCAGGTGGGGGACAGAGGCTCATGTCTGTAATCCCAGCACTTTGAGAGGCTTAGGCAGGAGGATTACTTGAGGTCAGTAGTTCAAGACCAGCCTGGGCAATATACTGAGACCCATCTCTACAAAAAATTACTCCTGGCTTCAAGTGATCTGCCTGCCTCAGCCTCCCACAGTGCCGGGATTACAGGTGTGAGCCACCATGCACAGCCAGCAATGTGCAAATATTAGTAGAACTTATAAAAACTAGTTTTGTCCTTAGTGAATTTTATTTTGCTTTGTTTTTCCAGTGAATATGGCTTTGCTGAAAAAGTAGTTGAGGGAATTACTGTTTCTGTAAATTCTATAGTCATCAGAATTGGAGCAAAAGCCTTCAATGCATCATTTGAACTTTCTCAGCTTCGGATCTATAGTGTAAATGCACACTGGGAACATGGAGATTTAAGGTTTACTCGTATTCAGGATCCACAAAGAGGAGAGGTAAAAAATTTTTTCTTTCCTTTTTAAAGGCTTCATTTAGTGACAAGTAAAGGAGAACAATTAAAATAATCACATCTCATGGTTGCCAGAATCTTGACTTTTAACTTTGCTTTTCTCTGTATTACTTTTTCGGGGGGAGGTGTGCAGGGGAGACACGGTTGCACTCTGTTGCCCATGCTGGAGTGCAGTGGCACAATCATGGCTCACTGTAGCCTTGACCTCCCTGGGTTCAGGTGATACTCCCACCTCAGCTTCTTGAGTAGCTGGGACTAAAGTCATGCACCACTGTGCCTAATTTTCATATTTTTGATAGAGACAGTGTTTTGCCATGTTGCCCAGACTGGTCTCAAACTCCTGGGCTCAAGCTATCCACTTGCCTTGGCCTCCCGTAGTACTGGGATTACAGGCCTGAACCACTGCACCTAACTCTCTGTATTACTCTTAATCATTCAGTTACAAAATGTGCACATTTTAATGCTTTTACTGTAATAAATATTTCAATTTAAAGCCCTATTTTAACTTCTCAGCTACTCAGAATTGAATGTTTAAATCCCTCAAACTAAAATACATTATTTAATTGTTTCTTGGTCACATGATTTAAATGCATTTGAGCTTTACATTAACTGAATTACTTAGAATAAAAGTATTAACAGCTTTACACATGATGAATATGAATATGAAGATATGTAACTGAATTTGATGGAATCATACAATTTACAAAAATAAAAACATGGTGAATATATCTAGAATGTCATGTGAAAATTAGTTGATAAGATACATTCGCTTTGTTTCTTAAAACCTGCATTTTTCTCATTCTGTTTTGCATGAGTAGGTGAAGTTAATCTCTGTGTTCTCCTTAGGTTTTGACTTTTAAAGAAATAAATTGGCAGATGATAAGAATAGAGGCAGATGCTACCCAGAGTTCACATCTTGAAATTATGTGTGCTCCTGTTCGATTAATAACCAACCAATCAAAAATCAGAGTCACACTTAAAAGAAGGGTGAGTCAACAGGATTACATTATTGATTGTATTAACTTTTGGATTTGACTTTTTGATTTGTGTGTTAACTATTAGTTAACTATAGGAAATTTTAAATAATTTCTTAGGTGAAATATTGGCATACTACTAGTGGCATATTAAAATAATGTAAAATAAAGGGAGGTATAGTTACTTAGATAATATTTGTAGAAAACTAGTATAATATTCCTCAGTCTTAGGTTTAATAGATTTTCAAAGGATTTTTTGTTGTTGTTGTTTTTATTTTTATTTTATTTTATTTGTTTTGAAATGAGATCTCACTTTATTGACCAGGCTTGATTGCAGTGGCATGACCAAGGCTCACTGAAGACTTGACCTCCCAGGCTCAAGTGGTTCTCCCGCTTCAGCTTCCCAAGTAGCTGGGACTACAAGCATGCACCACCATGCCTGAATAATTTTTTAAGTTATTTGTAGAGATGAGGTCTCATTATATTACCAGACTGGTCTTGAGCTCCTGAACTCATGTGATCCTCCTACATCTGCCTTATTTTTATTTTTATTTTTGGAGATGGGTCTTGCTCTATTGTCCAGGCTAGAGTGCAGTGACACCATCCTAGCTCACTGCAGCCTCAAACTCCTGGGCTCAAGGGATCCTCTCACCTTAGCCTCCCAAGTAGCTGAGACTACAGGAATGTACCACAGTGCCTAGCTAATTTTTAATTTTTTGTAGAGACAGAGTCTCACTATGTGGTCTAGGCTGATCATGAACTCCTGGCTTCAAGCAGTCCTTCTGTCTTAACCTTCCAAAGTGCTGGGATTACAGGTGTGAGCCACGATGCCTGGCCTAAACATTTTTGTTTTTGGTAAATTGAATATATTTCTCAGTTGACAATATTTGTTGAACATTTACTGTCTTATAATTTCATTTCTTCTATTGAATCTTTGAATTAATATAAGTAATTATATGATTTATCAGCTATAAATGCCAAATTAAGTTATATAAGTACTATATAACTTGTAAGGTACAAGGATTTGTCTGTCTTTTGTTACCACTGCATCTCTAGTACTAGGAAATACTCCATTCATGTTACAGGAACTCAATAAATACTTTTTATTTTTATTTTTAAAAAGATCAAGTTTCTCTCTCACCTAGGCTGGAGTGCAATGGTGCTATCTCCACTTGCTGCAACCTCTGCTTCCTGGGTTCAAGCAGTTTTCCTGCCTCCTCCTCCCAAGTAGTTGGGATTACACAGGTGTCCGCCACCACACCTGGCTAATTTTTGTATTTTTAGTAGAGACAGGGTTTCCACTGTGTTGGCCAGGCTGGTCTCAACCACTTGATATCAGATGATCCACCTGCCTCAGCCTCCAAAAAGTGCTGGGATTACAGGCGTGAGCCACTGTGCTTGGCCAGCAAATACTTTTTGAATGAAGGAAGAATCCATATTTAATTTTATTCAAAAAGGTTTTGAAAGCAATTTTTGAATACAAGTGTGTTATAAGGTTTATATCTTGGCTTAATTTTATAAAACTTTTTTTTTCCCCCACAGTTAAAGGACTGCAATGTCATAGCAACAAAGTTAGTTCTAATATTGGATGACTTATTATGGGTTTTAACTGATTCCCAGTTGAAAGCTATGGTACAATATGCAAAATCTCTTAGTGAAGCAATAGAAAAATCAACAGAACAAAGAAAGAGTATGGCTCCTGAACCTACACAGGTATGCTATAAAATTAACAGGAAAAATACTTACTTTACAGGAAAATAGTTTAAAAATTAGAAGGATTTGTTCATATTTTCTTTAAGGAACAGATTGTGAGGCTTTGAATACAAGAATCTTCTTTATCTAGATGTCTTCCAGGTAATTTTATATAAGTAGTATCTATATGAAAATGTATTCGTATCTATTAGTGTTTATTTTGTTTAGAGCTCTGTATTAGGCACTAAGGGTAATGATGACATAAAAGTATTTGATATTTTAATACCTCTGTTTAGGAAGTTAAATGAGTATAGTTTTAAAACTACTAAAGTAAAAGTAAACGAGGGAAAACCTAGGTAATCATAGGCAAGAGAGGACATGTGAGAGTTACTTGTGCAGAGAACCAAAGCCATAAGGAATTGCTGAAATTGGACACAAAACTGCTGAAGTTGTCTGATGGCTGGTGCAAGAACAGGGACAAGCATAATGAGCTGTTTATCACTTTTTTGAAAGTGATTATTAGTTTGTGTGGAGCATTATTAGTTGGTATGAAGAAGAAAAGTTTTCCTAGTCTTTCCCCATAGTAAGTTCTGAGTACCAATACATAAAGATCTTTATAGAAGAGACAATGAGAATTATAATGGATAATATTATTAATAATTTTATGCAAAGTATAAATGAATTTTTCTATCTACCCCTAATAAAAACTGGATAGTATAAAATTATGCACCTGTGAAGCTATTTCCTTGGAAACAGTGTTATATATCTCAGATATATAGCTTGTTGGTGATCTGGCTTTGTACATGGGAATGGCATACATTTAGGCTTTCTTTATTTTTTGAGACAGAGTCTCTGTCGCCCAGGCTGGAGTGCAATGGTGCGATCTCAGCTCACTGCAACTTCCACCTTCCAGGTTCAAGTGATTTTCGTACCTCAGCCTCTCGCGTAGCTGGGACTATAGGCAAGCATCACCTTGCCCCCCCTAATTTTTTTTGTAATTTTAGTAGAGACACGGTTTCACTGTGTTAGCCAGGCTGGTATCAAACTCCTGGCCTCAAGCGATTTGCCCTCCTCGGCCTCCCAAAGTGCTGGGATTACAGGTGTGAACCACCATGCCCAGTCTAGGCTTTTAATGAATATCACATTGGCATTTTTTATTGCTTGCCTACTATGTCCTAATGTGCAGGAGTAGACACTTTGATGTGAAAATGAATACCGTCTGACCTTGGCCTCAAGGACCTCAGAGTATAATGGTGAGTCAAATATGAAACAAATCTTTGTAGATGGGGGACAGAGGCTCATGTCTGTAATCCCAGCACCTTGGGAGGCTTAGGCAGGGGGATTACTTGAGGCCAGTAGGTTAAGACCAGCCTGGGCAATGTACTGAGACCCATCTCTACAAAAAAATTTAAAAATCATCTGAGTGTGATGGAATATACCTGTCATCCTAGCTACTTGGGAGACCGAGGCAGGAGGATTGTTTGAGCCCAGGAAGTCAAGCCATTGTACCACTGCACTTCAGCCTGCATAACAATGAGATCCTGTCTCAAAAAAAAAAAAGAAAAGAAAAGAAAAAGAAAAAGAAAAATCTCCAAATCATTGTAGTTGAATATAAATGTTAGCATGAAGAAGTAAGGGAAAGGGTTATGTGTAGGAACTACAGAAACAGAGAGAGGTTTCAATTAATTGCTTGCAGGGTTTAGAAAGGTTTCACAAAGAGGATAATGAAATTAAGTCTTAGAAATGAGTAGCAATTCACAGGCAGACATGGGGGGAAGGCATTTCAGAAGAGACAGTAGAATCTGCACAAGTACAGTATTTTTAAAGAACATGTTATTTTCTGATAAAGATAAGAAATTTGGTGTTACTAATGTTTTTAGGAGTGAGGTTCAAATGCCTCAGGATATAACAATTTTCCAAGTTTTATATTTTAAAGAAATTGAGTTCCACATATTCCACTTTGATGTGTATTCTTTCTTAAACTTGATCTACCAGAGAATATGCTTGCATTAAGATGTCAGACTGGCTCTCCCTTTCCATAATGACTCTAATCCTACTTTATAAATGAAAGGCATTATTACTCATCCTCAGTCTTACTAGAATGAATTTGAACAGGGAGGGGGTGAAAACCCCTCTGGGAACAAGATAGAGTGGCATTTTGAAACATTGCTATTCATGTTGGAAGTTAATGGCTCTAATGACAAAGGAACAAGTCTAGTTCTTTGTTTTTAACGCATTTGAAGGACAATCAAATAATTGTCAGCTATTAGAGATTATTAAAATAATTTTTTATAGTAGATCACTTAGTGAATGCAACCTGAAGGCATTGAAAGGATCAAGTCATATGGCTAAAACAAAACTGCTTTCCTTTCAGTCTACCTATTTATGTGAACAAGATTTTCTAGAGCTTATAGCCATAAAAACAAATAAACATACAGAATTGAAAGTGAATTTTGTATTATTCTACCAATAAATTATTCATCCAATGGGGCATCTGCAGAATTCTCGGGGGATTCTGATTTTAACCATTTGGCAAACAGACCACTGGGCTCTAGCATAGAATAGTTTCCCTCGACTGGTAGCCTGAGTTGAAATAAAAGTTTGCAATGACTATAATTGAAACATGTTGTATAATACATAGAAGAATTTGGATGTTTTCCTGTGGGCATCTGGGAGCCAGTGGAAGTTTTTAAGTAAGTTGAGGATAAGGAAGAGAGAAAAGTTGAGGACTTTGGAATGACAATTGGTAGTGTCATTAGCCAATAAGGGAAGGCAGAAGAAGGAAGTAGGTTTGATTAAGGAAGATAAGGGTAAGAAAAGCCATTTTGGAGCTGAAAAGTATAAGGAAAAAAGTAGAGAAGAGTAGTTTACAATATTACCGTCATAGACATAAATATTATTCTGTTAAGGCTTGCAACAAAGATTTTTGGTAGTTTAGGTTGTAATTAACAGAGATGGTGGTCATAGTTAAAGACTAACAGATTGAAGGTTGATATTACTGTATAGCTCTTATAATATGTGGATTTGTTTATATAAAATGGACTATGGATTAGAAAATTAGATATGTATCTATTAGGAAACTAGAAACAAGGACAAAATTCTGTCATCTCAGCATGCTAACAAAACTTGTGCTACCATTTTGAGGGTGGTTTTTGCCCCAGCGTATGCATTTTTTCCTAGTTGTAGTTCCTGGGCATATGCAAGTTTCTTCCATGTGTCTAGTCTTTGTAACTATTACGTTTTGTTGCTCCATAATATGTTATAGCAGATACATTTAACCATTAGGATAGAATTGTTTTCTTGGATAGTAGTTATCATGTTACTCCTTTGATATCATACAGAATGTCCTAATCTGATTATTTCAGGTCACGAGGGAGCATGTCAGAAAGTGAATTAGTTAACAGTGTTTCTTTACTCAACTTTACAACTAGGCCATTGTTTTCTATTACAAATATTTGCTTAGCTTCATCTTACTCTTCTCTAAAAGAGAAAGAAGACTATCTTGAAAATTAAGAGGTGTTAACATTATTCATAGGGCCAGGTGCAGTGTAATCCCAGCACTTTAGGAGGCTGAGGCGGGTGGATCTCTTGAGATCAGAAGTTCAGGACCAGCCTGGCCAGCATGGTGAAACCCTGTCTCTACTAAAAATACAAAAATTAGCCAGGCATGATGGTGGGAGCCTGTAATCCCAGCTACTTGGGAGGCTGAGGCAGGATAATCGCTTGAACCTGGGAGATGGAGGTTGCATGAGCTGAGGCACTCCATCCTGGGTGACAGAGCAAACTCCATCTCAAAAAAAAAAAAAGATTATTAATGAGGCATACAATGGCCCATTTTTTTTCTTCCAGAAATAGCATCCAAAAACCTGACTTTACCATAGTATTAAGAGGAAGGTTTGTAGGGAGATTAATGTTTATATTTTTATTTTTATCAGTATTTATCTTAATAAAGAAAAGAGAAAACAATAAAAGAAGTACTGGAGAGTATTTTTACATAGCACCATCATAGGCATAAATACCTTGTTATAGCTTTGAAAATAGATGGGAAAAACAGGAGAAAAATTGTTTGACATCAGTTTAATAATTAATGAAAAGTTTTCTAGAGTATCTAGTATTCAGCGTTCTATAGCTATATTTCACCTTTCTGTTTCTTTACTTACTGTGGTCTGCAATCATTTTCATGAAGAAATTTTCATTTACTAATTACACTTTGCAGTTCTTTTACAGTATGATCATAGTTCTTCATAGATGTATATAAATATATATACATATAAAATATATATATTTTGATTTTCTTTAAGTAATTAACCATCTTTTATTATAACTTATGAATTTGAACATTGTTAATTTTTAAAGTGGAAAATATGGTGTTTATCATAATTATAAAAAATCATCTACAGTTTTGTGGCTCACATGTCAGATAATCTTACATTATAGTTGTGTATACAGAATCATTTTAGCCTATTAGAGGTTCATATATATTTTTATATGTTAAAAATGTACTATACCATTTCTCTTTAGGGAAAAAAATATTTGAACTCACAACCTATTTATAAATCCTGTCTCCTTTCTGGCTTCTTTAGTTATTCAAGTTCAAAGGATACACCATATCTTTTAGGAGAGGCACCAGAACACTTAGAGTACAAAATAATATCACAGGGGCGTCTACAAAGATGTGCTTTATTTCTATAGGATATTGTGTTAGTCCTTTTTAACGCTGCTGTTAAAGACATACCTGAGACTGGGCAGTTTACAAAAGGAAGAGGTTTAATTGGACTTACAGTTCCATGTGGCTGGAGAAGCCTCATAATTATGGCAGAAAGTGAGGAGGAGCAAGTCCCTTCTTACATGGATGGTAGCAGGCAAAGAGAGAATGAGGAATATGGAAAGCCAGAAACCCCTGATAAAACCATTAGATCTCTTGATGCTTATTCACTACCACAAGAACAGTAGGGGAGGAACCGCCCGCATGATTCAATTATCTCCCACCAGGTCCCTCCCACAACACATGGAAATTATGGGAGTACCATTCAAGGTGAGATTTAGTTGGGGACACAGAGCCAACAACCATATCAGATACACAACAGTGTATACAGGGCCCACATTTGTTTTCTTTTTAATATATAGAACTAATAATATTCAAGTAAACTGCCTTTAACTACATTTTCTAAAACAAGGGCTGTAAATATGTTAAATATAACTTCAGATATTTACTGAGACATATTGGGGTTCATATTTGATTTGTGTATAGTTTTACAGTTTTTAAGCTTTAGTTTTATTCTTAGGTAATTCAGAAAATATTTTAGTGAAGCTAAGTTATTCATGAAAAATAAAATGTATGATGGTTATTTTTCATGACTTTTCAATTGAAAATATTTAGATTTTTTTTGTGTGTGAAATTTCCAATATTTAAATTGGCAGTGGTAAGGGAGTTTTGAATCTTTTTAGAGCTCTACAGTAGTCGCATCTGCCCAGCAAGTGAAGACAACACAAACTTCAAATGCTCCTGATGTAAATGATGCAATTGTGAAACTATTCAATGACTTTGATGTTAAGGAAACCTCCCATCATTTAGTAATTTCTCATCTAGATCTACATATATGTGATGACATTCATGCTAAAGAAAAAGGTAAAATAATTTGCTTATTTTGAACTGTTTTGGTTTTTCTAGAATTGACTACAAAACTAGGTTGTTTATTAAATCTCTTGTATAGGATGTCTTGTAAGAAAATTTGTCATAATTGTGTTCATATGAATGTGTAGATGAAAGGCACAATTGGAAGCATACATTGGTAGGAAATTTTATTTTGCTTTAGCAGTTAGTACTTAAGGTTAATTAGTTGTTAACCATCAATACTAACAATAAAATTAGTTTTAAAAAATCAAACACTGATAAATGACACTCTTGGAGGATGATGTAATATTAGACTTGCCTTTGAATTAACTTTTTCATAATTTTGAAGTTGTCTGCAAATTAAATTTTAGTCCATACTTAATTCATAATTATTTGTAGTTGTGTTTTCAGCATTGTAGTTTATCTGCCTATTTTGAGCAGACATACAGCTGTGTAACTCTTTAACATATTTTATGACTACTTCTCCTCCCATCCTTCCAAAATTTGATTAGGAAGCAAAATTTCAGTTAGTTTTCTTGTAGTTTTTGTCCATCTTATTTTTCCTTGTTTAGTAAACATAACAGGGTAACCAGGAAGCTGCCCTTTGTCATTCTGTAAATATGTAGTTCTGTAATCTAGATGCTGGGCATTTTTTTTGTTTCTTTGCTGGAGAGTATCCCTGGCCTAGAAGTATTGGGGGTGAGTTCAGCAGGTAGGCCTGTCGTAAGGACTATAATTCTCCAACTTTGGTGAGCATTAGAATCAAGCTGAAGACCTTTAAACAGTAGAGTTATCTGATCTCTGGGCCTCACATCTGAATCAGGATCTATATCTATGAAAATTTTTGCCCTGTGTTTTTAAGCTGGGAAAGTGAATATTGAGACCACGGATACTTAGCAGTAGAAGTTACCCTGCCTTCATTAGACAAGGCAGCTACCTGAAAGGTTGGAGTGGTAAAGATGAGGAAGATTTGGGGTTTGTGGAGAGATTTGTTATCTTTAAAATGTGATTTTTATGTTCAAGTTATACCATTGTGTCATTTGACCTACAGTGGTATCTTTTACTTTTGAGATTTGAAAGGAAAATCCAAAAAAGTTAGAACAAACCAAACTAAGAAAATGAGGTGGTCAAGATTAAGTAACGAGAATGGAGAAAGTATTTTCTAAGGCCTTACATTCTTCACTATTCCCTCATAGAATAAGTTGAATGATTTTATTTAGGAGGAAAACCTTTCCACCAAAATATCTCTTTAATAGTGCAGTTTGTAATCACTACTTTTCTGAAATCCAAAAGGCTCTGAAATGTTATTTTATAAGTTTGTGAAAAAAGCACTTGGTGGCAAAACCTGACTTATACCAACACATTTTTTATATTTATGTTTTGCTGCAGAATTGCTATTTTTATTATTGCTGCCTCAGAACCTGCTGGGATTGTTGCATGGTATATCCTGTATATACCATATTAGTGTCACGAAATCTAAACATTTCTGAATTCTGAAACATTTGGCTTTCCAAAGGTTTTATGTAAGGGATTGTAGACCTGAACTAGAAATTCTAGTTGAGATAAATGAGATTTTACCAATTAATATAGCTATGTCTCAGTTTGTATTTTTCTTACTTCTGATTGATTTGCCCATTTTGTTTTAAAATTTGATTTTTATGCTCATGTTACACCAATTCGTGATCTACTTTTGATCTTCTTATAGCTGTGTGGCTTTGAACAACTTACCTAACCTAACAGACTTTTAATTTCCTTTTCAGTAAGAGGTAGGATGATACGGTGTAGTGGTTAAGATTTCCTGGGTTCAAATCCAAACTTTGTACTTAACTAGCTGTATGTCCTTGGCCTCTTTGGGCCTCAGTTTCCTTATCTTGAAGTTAAGGATAATAATGATTGTACCTATCAAATGGGGTTGTTATGAAAATCAAATGAGTAAGTATACGTAAAGTTTTTAAAATAATGCCTGACATATGGAGAGGCCCTGTAAATATAAAAGTTCTGCTATTATCATCTGTGAACTCTACCAGGGCAGGGATTCTGCTATTCTTGTATTCTTACCTTTTATCCTAATGCCTTGCAAATGAGGAGGGCTCAGTAAGTACTTATTGGATTGAATTATATTTCCTAAAATCCTTAATGTGCTTTATGAAAGAGAGACAGTTATTACCACTTGGACTCCAAGTATGGTAAAAATCTTTTGTGGTGAATTAAATGTTTCTGATAATTTCCTTAATATCTTTTTCTCTTTCTTTTCCCAGAGTCAAACAGACGTATTACTGGAGGGGCAATGCAACTTTCTTTTACGCAGCTAACTATAGATTATTATCCTTACCATAAAGCAGGTATGTATAACAGCTTCTTTAAAAGATATAAATGTTGTTTTAAAATTATATAGCCAATTTGTTTAGTTTTATTTTGTTAGCAAGAAATGAGATGAAGAAATCGGTATTTTTCTCCTGGCAGTATTTTACTAAGAAAGTAGAATTGCCATGGAATTTAGTCATACGGTTTACATTGAGATTTATGTAAATTATTAGAAACCTTAATTTTTAGAAGTTGACAGTTTTCCAAATAACCAGTTTAAAACTTAAAGAAAAAGTCAGAGTACAGAGGAGATGTGTTTGTGCTATTTTGTTGTGACAAAAACAGGTTATTAATAAATGTTTTAAATTTTTAAATGATTTATATATTTAAAAATTAGAAAAGTGTATGAAGCTAAGAATAAGAGTAGGTTTAGCTAAATTACAGGATTCCAGATTTCATAGGCTTTTAATAATCTAGTATTGGTAGATTATTTCTCCCAAATAATGAAACGAAAAAAAGTATGATTATTGTGGCCAAATTAAGTAATTTGACTTTAGGCGTATTTTTGCTTTTTGGTGGTATTTGGCATTAATACAAGTGAGAAAAACCAAACTAGAGATCATACAGTTTTCCAGGACATTTTAAAAATGGTAAAGTTTTTCTGTTCATACATTTCTGTTTAACATTTTCTACCAATGTTTGTCATTTCTACGTTGGTACCTGATTAAATTTAAAGGTTGTATGATATGCTTTGTTTTTTTCTTTTTCGTTTTAAATTTTTATTGCCGATATTCAATATGATGATTTTCTTTTAAAGCATTTTGTCTTATGTATTATCCTCCGGTCTCATAAATTAACTTACAAATGCATAAAATTTTTAAATAGAAATTATTTATTTTTTGGGAGGTGAAACATTCATAGAGTAGATTTTCTTTTTTTTTGAAACAAGGCCTCATGAGTACAGTGGCATGATCACTGCTCACTACAGCCTTGACCTCTTGCCTCAGCCTCCCAAAGTGCTGGGATTATATGTGTGAGCCACTATGTCTAGCCTGATTTTATTGTCTTAACCCTTTTATGTGCATATTACTTTTCTTAGTTGCTACAGAGAAAACTAATAATCCTGATTTTATATTTTTCTTCCAGAAACTATGGCTGAGTACATCTTGAAAAGTTCATTTTTGTGGTTTAGGTTTTTGTTAGTTACTTTACAACAAATCTTTGATGAAAGGATTTTATTTCTTTCCTAACATTTTCTGGGATTAAGTTTAATGGAAGTTTACCAGGTAATTGAGCATCCAGTGAAGGGTGACCAGTCAAATGGCTTTAAATTGAACCTGAGTGATTTTCTACTAAAAATGTGTACTAGATAGAAACTCCCCCAGATGATTTGCTTTTGACATTCTTTCTCTCTATTTCAAATGTTTTACTCATATTTCAGAATAACATGTAGTAGGTAAAGCCTGTAAATTTTTCGGATATCAATGCCTTTCTTCAGTAAATGACTAAATCTCATTGGAAGCATTACTATAATAATTGAAAGTTGTACATTTTTCAATGAAATACCTGTTATTCATTTTACAGGAGATAGCTGTAGTCATTGGATGTATTTTAGTGATGCAACCAAAACAAAAAATGGATGGGCCAACGAGCTATTGCATGAATTTGAGTGCAATGTTGAAATGCTTAAACAGGCTGTGAAGGATCATAATGTAGGTTCACCTCCTAAATCCCCAACACATGCCTCTCCCCAGCACACACAAACAGGTATTTTATCTATAATAACATTATGGCATTCCCCCAGTCTTAAGGGTATTTGTGCTTGTATGTGTGTGTGTGCACGCGCACACACATGCGCGTGCACACATGCCTCTGTGTGTGTGATCATATTTCCTGTAAATAAGTATTTTTTATTTGTTTTTAATGTGGAGATGGGGGTATCACTGTGTTGCCTAGGGTAGTCTCAAACTCCTGGCCTTAAGCAATTCTCCCACCTTAGCCCTCCCCAAAGCCCTGGGATTACGTCAGCCACACCCAGCCAAATGTTTTTAATTAATGGCTAAAACCCCTGCATCCTTCATTCAGACCAAGATAGGCTTGTGGATTAAAGCACTTTTAAACTTAAAATAACCAATAATAGTCACACCCAGGTAGAATTTTTCAAACTCTTAAGTAGCTAGAAGATCTCTTATTTTTTCTTTTTAGTCAACACAAAATAATTGTACATATTTATGAGGTACAGTATGATACTTTTTTTTTTTTGCTGACCCAGTAAGGATTGAAGTATGGTATTTTGATACATGTATACAAATGTAGAATGATAAAAGCAGAATAATTAGCATATTCATCACCTCAGACATTTATCATTTATGTTGGGAACATTCAAAATCTGCTCTTATTAGCTATTTGAAAAAATAAATTATTATTAATTAAGTCACCCTATAAAAGCTAGAAATTAGTTCTACTATCTAGCTGTACTTTTGTATTCACTAATTACCCTTTGTCTGTCCCTCCCCTGCCCTCCCCCATAGTATTCCTTTTCTAATTCTATGTAAATATCTCATTTTTAACAAGAATGTCATTCCAAGTTTTGTAGAAGAGTAACTTAAATGTGATATATGTGATTCTTCTTAAAAGAATAATCACCACAATAACTTACGTCCTGTATCACTTTATAATTTATAAAGTATGTCCACAAATATTATCTTGTTTGAGAAGTTAGTATTCACATATATTTCTAGTACCTGCCTTAATAATAGAAGAGTGACTGTTAAAAATAATTTTGCGACAAATTGAAAGGTGTTTTTGTTTCCAACAGAGAAGGACTACACTCTGAAAGGGACATGCAGAACACCTTCAGTATTATGTCAACAGTCAAAAGCTAAGCTAATGTCTAGTTCTGTTGTGGTTAGACTTGCAGATTTCAATATCTACCAGGTATGTTTTTTATTCCAATTAAATCGTCTTACAAACGCAGTATCTCTCTAAGCAACTCCAATAAAAAATGCTAACATTTTATTTCAAAAGTCTTTACAAGTTTTATGAAATGGCCATATTAGATGCCATAGAAATATCAGTTTATTAATTTTTGATAATATGGTTACTCAGAGTTAGCCAAACTAACATTATAGGCACAGTCCTTAAGTTTGCCTAAGTGCTTCTGACAAAATGGTGCTGGTACAAAAACAGATGCATAGAGCAATGAAACAGATTAGAGAACCTAGAAATAAAGCTGCACACCTGCAACCATCTGATCTCCTACAAAGTCGACAGTACTAAGCAGTGGGGAAGTGGTTCCCTATTTAATAATGTTGCTGGGATAACTGGCTGGCCATATGCAGAAGATTGAAATTAGACCCTATCCTTTCTCCACACACGAAAATTAACTCAAGATGAAATGAAAGACTTAAGTGTAAAGTCCAAAACTGTAGAAACTCTAGAAGACAACCAAGGAAATAGAATTCTAGACATTGGCCTCCACAGATCTCATGAGGAAAACAAAAGTAATTGAAACAAAAGCAAAAATTGGCAAGTGAGACCTCATTAAAGGGCTTCTATACAGCAAAATAAAGCTATCAACAGAGTCAACAGACATCCTACCAAATGGGAGAAAATATTTACAAATTATTCATCTGACAAAAGTCTAATATCCAGAACCTATAAGGAACTTAAATCTACAAATAAAAACCAAACACCATTAAAAAGTGGACAAAGGTCATGAACACACACTTCTCAAAAGAAGACATATGTGCAGCCAACAAGCGTATGAAACAGTGCTCAACATCACTAATCAACAGAGAAATGCAAATCAAAACCACAGTGAGATACCATCTCACACCAGTCAGATACCATCTCACACCAGTCAGAATGGCTATTATTAAAAAGTTAAAAAATAACAGTTGTTGGTGAGGTTATAGAGAAAACGGAATGCTTATACACTGTTGTTGGGAATGTAAATTTGTTCAGCCACTATGAAAAGCAGTTTGGAGTTTTCTCAAAGAATTTTGAAAAGAAATACCAATAGACCCAGCAATCCCATTACTGGATATATATACCCAGAGGAATATAAATCTTTCTACCAAAGGCACATGCACTTGTATGTTCATGGTAGTACTCTTTATAATAGCAAAGACATGGAATCAATCTAGATGCCCATCCACGGTGCAATGAATAAAGAAATTGGTACATATACACCGCAGGATACTATGCAGCCATAAAAAGAATGCAATGATGTTTTTTGTTGCAACATGGATGCAGCTGGAGGGCATTATCCCAAGTGAATTAATGCTGGAAAAGAAAACCAAGTACTGCATATTCTCACTTATAAGTGGGAGCTACACATTGAGTGCACATGGACACAGAGGGAAACAGTAGACATGGGGTCTTACTTGAGGGTGGAGGGTTGGGGGAGGGTGAGGATTGAAAAACTATTTAACTGATACTATGCCCACTATTTGGGTTGTGAAATTATTTGTACACCAAATCCCAGTGCAATTTACCCATACAACAAACCTGCACATGTACCCCCTGAATCTAAAGCAAACGTTGGAAGAATAAAAGACTTTGTACACCAACTACAACTTCGGAAGTTTCTGAAAACCATTCTCAGGTTCAGTAATTCACTACAAAGACTCACAGAACCCATTGAAATATATTAAAGTCTGTTATATAAATATATCTAAATTATATATAAATATTTCATATTTATATGAAATCTATTATAGTCACATTATACATCTGTTATAGTCACATTATACAAATTAGAACCAGCCTTAGGAACAGATGCCTAAGGCAGAGTCTTTATTCCTCCCTGTATGAGTCTGTTTTCATGCTGCTGATAAAGACATACCAGAGACTGGGCAATTTACAAAAGAAAGAGGTTTACTGGACATATAGTTCCACATGGCTAGGGAAGCCTCACAATCATGGCAGAAGGCAAGGAGGAGCAAGTCACATCTTATGTGGATGGCAGCAGGCAAAGAGAGAGCTTGTTCAGGGAAACTCACATTTTTAAAACCAGCAGATCTTATTCAGTACCACAAAAACAGCACAGGAAAGACACACCCCCATAATTCAGTCACTTCCACCATCTGCCTCCCACAACATGTGAGAATTGTGGGAATTTCAAGATGAAATTTGGGTGGGGACACAGCCAAACCATATCATTCTGCCCTGGTCCCTCCAATCTTACGCCTTCATATTTCTAAACCAATCATGCTTTCCTAACTGTCCCCCAGAGTTTTAACTCATTTCACCATTAACTCATAAGTCCACAGTCTAACATCCCATCTGAGACAAGTCCCTTCTGCTTATGAGCCTATAAAATCAAAAGCAGTTTAGTTACTTCCTACATACAATGGGAGTACGAGGCATTGGGTAAATACAGCCATTCCATATGGGAGAAGTTGGACAAAACAAAAGGGGCCACAGGCCTCATGCAAGTCCAGAAGCCAGTGGGGCAGTCAAATCTTAAAACTCCAAAAACAATCTTCTTTGACTCCATGTCTCACATACATCACACTGATGTAAGAGGTGGGTTCCATGATGTTAGGGCAGCTCCACTGCCGTGTCTTTGCAGGGTACAGCCCTCCTCTCAGCTGTTAGACATTTAGTGTCTGCTGATGCCTTTTCTAAGCATGTGGTACAAGCTCTTGGTGGATCTTCCATTCTGGGATTAGGAGTATGGTGGTCCTCTTCTCACAACTCCACTAGGTGGTACCCCAGTAGGGACTTTGTGTGGGGGCTTTGACCCCATATTATCCTTCTGCACTGCCCTAGCAAAGGTTCTCCATGAAGACCCTGACCCTGCAGCAAGCTTCTGACTGGGCATCCAGGCATTTGCATACATCCCCTGAAATCTAGGTAGAGGCTCCCAAACCCCAGTTCTTGACTTCTGTGCACCAGCAGGCTCAGCACCATGTGGAAGCTGGCAAGGTTTGGTGCTTGCACCCTTTGAAGCCACGGCTCAAGCTGTATGTTGGTCCCTTTCAGCCATGGCTGGAGTGGCTGGAATGCAGGGCACCAAGTCTTAGGCTGCACACAGCACAGGGATTGTGGGCCCAATCCACAAAACCACTTTTTCCTTCTAGGCCTCTGGGTCTGTAATAGGAGGGGCTGCCATGAAGACCTCTGACATGCCCTGGAGACATTTTCCCCAATGTGTTGGGGTTTGATGTTAGGCTCCTCTTTTCTTATCAAATTTCTGCAGCCAGCTTGAATTCCTCCTCAGAAAATGAGATTTTCTTTTCTATTGCGTTATCAAGCTGCAAATTTTTTGAACTTTTATGCTCTCCTTCCCTTATAAAACTAAATGCCTTTAAAAGCACACAAGTCGGCCGGGCGCGGTGGCTCACGCCTGTAATCCCAGCACTTTGGGAGGCCGAGGCGGGTGGATCATGAGGTCAAGAGATCGAGACCATGCTGGTCAACATGGTGAAACCCCGTCTCTACTAAAAATACAAAAAATCAGCTGGGCATGGTGGCACGTGCCTGTAATCCCAGCTACTCAGGAGGCTGAGGCAGGAGAATTGCCTGAACCCAGGATGTGGAGGTTGCGGTGAGCCGAGGTTGCGGTGAGCCGAGATTGCGCCAAGCCGAGATTGCGCCATTGCACTCCAGCCTGGGTAACAAGAGTGAAACTCCGTTTCAAAAAAATAATAATAATAATTAAAAACCTATTCAAATTGGGACAAACATACTATCTATCCTATGTTCTTCTACTTTTGTTCATTTTGTTTTGTGTTTGGTGTGGTTGTGTATGTATATGTGGGGTTTCTTACTGTATTTCACTTGCAACCATGTAGGAGTATAAGTGATTCTTCCTTCTCATTTTCACGTAAGTTTATTTAAATCTTAAAATTTAAAGTCTTTTAAAAAGCTGCAGTATATATGTAGTCATGTACCATATAATGACATTTCTGCCAATGACAGGCCACTTATAAGATGCTGATCCCATAAGATTATAACAGAGCTTTTATACTGTACTTTTATGGTATATTTTCTATGCTTTATAATGTTTAAGTACACAAATGCCATTGGGTTATAACTGCTCCAGTATTCAGTACAGTAACATGATATACAGGGTCACAGCCTAAGAGGAATAGGATATACCATATAGCGTAGGAGTGTAAGTAGGCTACATATCATCTAAGTACAGTTTATGACATTCACACAATGACGAAATAATATTCCCATCATTAAGCAACACATGAGTGTATATCGAATGTAAAAAAAGTAGTAACTGCACAATGAGAACAACTGTTATGTCCAAGTTTCTCAAAATTGGCACTTTTGACATTTTAGGCCAGCTAATTCTTCACTGTGGAGAACTGACCACAGTGGGATGTAGGATGTTTAGTACACTGTAGGATGTTTAGCAGCATCACTGGTCTTTACACTAGAGGTCAGCAGCATCCCTGTCCAGTTGTGACAACCAAAACTATCTTCAGATATTGCCAAATGTCCCCTTGGGGGCAAAATTGGTCCCAGAGGGGAATCATTGAGTTAAATAAAAACTTTTCAAATAAAACTAAGTCTCAAAGCCATAGACTTATGAAAATAAACCAAAACAATTTATAAATGATAATACAAATCTAGAAATCTTTTATTTTTTAAGATTGGTCATATACTCCTATTGTGTTGGTCTCAAACATTGCAATTAGACCATGTTAGGTGATTATAAGCTGAGTAAGACTGTCAGTATAAATAGGACAGAGTTCTTAGCTATAGAATTATATTCACAGGGTAGCCAATACAGTATATACAGCATACTGCAGTTCTGTAAAGCCAAAAGGAAATTGGTCTCCCTTTGATCCTGCTCCTGGGAAGCAACTAGGAATTGGAATTTCCTATTCACAGTGGGCCCCGATAGAGTTTGGATATTGTGCCCTCTAAATCTCATGTTCAATTGTAATCCCCCATGTTGGAGGTGGAGCCTG